CACCAGCATCAAGGCCTACAAAGACGACGACCCCCTCCGGTTTCGATCCGGATCCAGATCCGCAAACTCGACAACCCAAACCCACTTCCCCTCCACTTCCAGCTCGCCGAAAAACCCAAAACCCCAACTCATCCGAACTCACACCAACGTCCTACTCTAGTTGGGCCACAACAAGAGGTCGAGGGGCTCGAGAACGGCCGAGAGCCATCGGACGGCTGCCGATGAGTCTTCGGTCCATCCGAGGTCACATGTCAAGATCCAACGACGGGTGGCGCTCGCCGGAGCTGAGAGGATGTCTGCAGCGACTGACGCATCGTCGATGCCGGGCCAGAGGGGCTGCTTGCCGTTGAGGGATTCTATGAATTCAAGTTGGGTTTTGTCCTTTGTAAAATTGATTTTTTTCCCAGTAGTTTCCTGATGCAGGCTGTCTTAAATTTATAATTTTGATATCTTTATAGTAATTCCATAATTTTAGTTGGGTTTTATTTATTTTTTATTTTGATATCTTTGGAGCAAGATGATGATGAAGATAAAGAAATCAGATACCGCTTAGATCCAAAGTTCATTTTTTATTTAACTTGCTTTAAAAGATTATTCTCTGCCAACTTCTCTTAGATTAATTTTGATTTCAGGTATGCTAATGTCAAAACACCAGGCCAACATGATAATTTCACTTCTATATGTATATTTTCCCTAATGCATTTATTCAACTTGCATATTCTTTCAATACAATACGTTTCAGACATTTCAATATAATATATTTCAGACATTTTAGAAGTTGTTGTCATTTGCATAGGTGTCTGTTGAGGTGCATATAAATTGCCAGGTTTTTGGTTTAACATTAGAGCTTTTATTTTGTGAACTATACAATTTTATGAAGATTCAATGCTGTAGTTTCAAGAACATTTTTCTTGCAAGCAATTCTCTTCAATATTTGACAGAACTTTGTTCAAACAATTCGTGGAACAAATCCTTTGCTGGAATTTAAATCAAGGAAATTGTACATAGGAATATATTGTTTACTGGATTATATTTCTATTTGTTTGATTCATCCCACGAGTTACCCCCTCATGAAAGTGAGGCTCCTTTTGTCATTTCAATTTGTTTTCCAGTTTACCCATCACATTATTATAGATTTTAGTTAAGTTTTATTTGTTTTCCTTACATTACTGCATATAAGTCTTTCCTTTTACATTTTTAAAGTAAAAATTTGGTATATTTTTATACATGGTTTGCTGTTTATTGTGGGCCATCGGCACCGCCGCCTACGGTGATTCCAGCGAGCGGCGACGGCGCGCTGATGGATCTTGAAGCCAGCGGTGATGAGGTTCAGATGTGGTCCTCTCCGATAATAATTCCTCAGTTTTAATTTGTTTATCTTTATTGGTTTTATTCATTTTTATGGTTTTCATACTTAATTTAGGGTTCTGATGAGTTCTTGAAAGGATATGATGATCGAAGCAGGACAAATTTCCCCTATTACAATGGTATATGGACACATATATAAATAAGGATAAAGATGCGACACATGCACACTTATGGATCAAAATATTGAAAATTTGTCACCTGCATTTGTGTGTTTTTTCCATCTTTTTTAATCCTTTAAACTGTGTTTTAATCATAATTTGTTATTGACATGATCTGTAGGTATTGAAGTTGCATCCTGAAAACCTATATGCTGCCAATGGTAATGGAGCTATCTTGGCTGAAAAATGTCACTTTAATATTTCAAAGGATATATTTTTGGAGGTTACTTTTGGTTATGCATTAACTCTTTTCTTTAGTTAAAAATTTTATTATTTCTTTTACATGACTTATTTTTATAATTTAGGTGCAAGAAGCTGCATCAGGGAGCATTTTTGTTCAGATGCCAGATGTGTGGTTATATTTGGGCAATGTTTATTTTGCTCAAGGATATTTTGCCTTAGCTGTGAAAATGGTAATTATAAGAACCCTGTATTTTTTTGTCAGAAGCATTAAGTGTGACAATTTGCTCTTTTGCAGTACCAAAATTGCTTGCGAAAGTTCTACTACAACACAAACACGGAGGTCCTTCTATATTTATCCTTCACTCAATATTGGGCAGAACAATGGAATGAATGTACATGAACTTTGCAAAGAGCTATTCATTTGGCGCCCTCAGATTATACACTTCGGTTTGATTTGGGGGTTGCCTTGCAGAAGTTTTCTGCACCAACACTACAAAAGAAGAGGAGAACTTCATATGAGGTTATGTGATTCTATTCTTTAAACATCAATTTCATTATCATACACTTCATAGTTTCATTAGATGGTTAAACATTACTATTTCCTTAAAATTACACCTAAAGTAAATTACCCAGATTGAGATTCCACGCTATATACAGATGGCCTTTCTCAATAGGAGATTTTCTGAGATCTTACTACTTTCTGTATTGTAGTATACTGATTGTTCAGATGATTTAAAAAAAAAAATCCTCAGTTGCCCTGTAATCTGTGGCTGTGTAATAGGATTCTTACAAGTGTAAGCATGTGTGTCATTATGTGTTATCTTCAGGTGCCTTCTACTCTTTAATTGTGATAAGATTTCAGAAGAGTGAATTTTTGTGCACTTGCGTAATTTGGATTCCCAGATTTTCTTTTTATTTGCTATTTTTGGTAGCATTTGTTTTCTTATAATTTGTTTATTTGCCGGTGATTCTTTTGATGCTTCTACAGCGGTTTTTATATGCATTTTCTTTTTTGCAATTCTCATTTGTAGATGTACATGTACACTACTGCTCTTAATAAAAAAACTAAAACAAAATCTTCAACTCCTTATTTTTATATGATGCTAGCACACAATTAGGCCAAATCGTAATGCACAAGACAAATGCTGTCTCAATTTATTTCTCTGAAGTTGAGTTCCTTGGATTAGATCTGTAGATAATACTTTATAACTTTCTCATTAGTTTCATGATTAATAAGCAAACACATATATAACATGCATTATTAGAATCAAATATACATTTGGTTAAATTCTATTAAAAAGTTATCAAATCGAATTGTTAATAAACTTCCGAATCGAACATACCTTTGGTTAGATTCTATTCATTTATAAGCCGAACACTAAAAATTATTTGTTTAGTACTAAATGAACTATTGAAATAGACTTCTGCGAATATTTGGACGAATGATAACCAAACAGTTTATTATTATTCGGTTCACTTCCACCACTATACTTCATATCTAAAGCAGAATACTATATTTTCGTAACATGTTCAATATTTGCAGAAAATCTTCTAGAAACCGTGCTTTTGCACGGGTCTAAATACTAGTATATGTGTGTGTGTGTGTGTATGAGAAAAATGAGTATGCTTGCTACTAAGCATAATCTTTGTGATTGGTAGTGAGGTGGCATATTCCCATCCACTTATTCCAATTCCCAATCACTCCCCAACCCATGTGAATGTAGGCCCCAATTTCAATGAGTGGCGGAGAATATGTCACATCATTACCAAGCGCAAAACTTATGCTTGGTACCAAGCATAGAGAGAGAAATGGATATGCTTGGTACCAAACACAACTCTTGGTAGTGAGGTGACATATTTTACTCAACTCATTGAAACCGGGGCCCACATTCACATGAGTTGGAGAGTGGTTGAGAATTAGAATGAGTGGATGTGAATAATACACTTCACCACCAAGCACAAAATCTATGCATTGTACAAGCAATACTAGTATTCTCGTCTCTCCTCTCCCCCTCTCGTCTCTCGTCTCTCTCCGCGCTGGCGCGCCCGCCAGGAAGCTGCACGACACACACACACACACCACAACAACACAACCACTATACTATACAGTAGATATCATAGTATACTACCTAGCTACTATATGATATAACCTACTGATAATATACTACACGTATATATTGAGAAATATTGGTTCGCTTGGTATCCAGCACAAACTTTTTTTGCTTTGTAGTGATGTCGTCATATCTCATACACACGTCACCGTAAGCCCATGTGAATTGTTCCCGACATCTTAAGATGAACTGGCAGGGACGGATATGACACCGTCACCTACACGCACACTCTTTTGTGCTTGGTACGAACGCATACCATGATTTCTTCTCTCTCTCTATATAGGCATATGAATTATAAAGTACCATCATGATAACGCTATATATACTAGTCACTGTTAACTACTACCCTACGTAACAAGGGTACGTGAGCTATAGTAGGTATACTAGATATACGCGTTATATCTTATAGTTATATCATATACTAATATGCTGGCCCATGCTTGGTCGACCAAGTACAAATTTTGGTGCATTGGTAGTGCAGGGTGCACAATCCATCTCCACTCATCGAAATGGGGAAAACCACATGTCCCAGGATTAGAGGAGGTGCATGAGGAATTATGCAAACACTTTGCATGAGTTGGGAGCACGTTATGTCACTCACTACCAATCAGTTAACTTTTTTGTGCTTGGTACCAAAACATACCATTTTTCTCATATATCATATATAATATAATACTATAATGATATACTATTACATATAGTATATAACTACATATATGGGAAAATGGACATACTATCTTATATTTTTTGTATTACCAAAGATACGAGACTAAATGTATTAATATGCATGCGACATTTTCTTTTAATAATCTAAAATTTCGTTTAAAAGGTGATAGGATTATTGGTCAGATGTTTTCTCTTATTATTACTTAATTTACTACTCAAAAGGAAAATCATTTTTCAACTTTTAAGTTCATGTGATCTCACTTAGTGATCAATTAGCATATAAATTCACATATTATGAGATTTCAAATCTAAAACTGGACAATAAAAGTAAAAAAAAAGACAAAGTGGTACACCTTGGACAAAAGCCCATGTTCAAACCGAATCCTTCATCAGTGCAAGGTTGACCCAAAAAATATTGGAAAATAAACAAAAGTAATAAGATAACAATCCGTGTCTCATTCTTAAAGCAATAGATAAGCGAAGTACGATAGCTTGCCAAAAAAACAAAACAAAACAAGGTCTGTCTTTGTTTCCCCTTCTGAGCCGCTTTCAATAATTAAATAATTTCCATATTCTTCTCCTAAGAACGAAATACTTTAATAGTTTGCATAAAGTATTGCATATATTAAGATCTTATACAAATTTAGAAAAAAAATCTCTATCCAAGCCTTTTCTCTCTCCTCTCCCTCGCTCCCTCCCCGTTGCAAAGAACCCTAGAGGGACAGCTCTATCCGAAGTAAGTCTCTCTCTTTGTTTTCTCTTTTCACTTCTTTAGGACAAGCAAGATAACGGAAAGCTCGGATTTTTTAAAAAGATTTTTTCTTGGATTTATTTTTCGAAATATGTTTCATTTTTTTTTAAGATCTCAACTTGGAAACCTGAAAGCTAGAATATTTCTCTTTGAACCTTAGAATGTAGATTGTAGTGGGGTTCTTTGACGGTTGCAGCATCGTCCTTGTTAACCCTAAAAATTAGGGTTTCTTTGAAAATGATGAATTTCCTGTTTATTTTAGGGGAGTTGGGTAAATGGGTTTGTGTGGAAGATCGTAATGAAGAAAATGCCATAGAAAAGATTCGATCTTTCTGTTGTTTCAACCCAATTTTCTATACTTAAGTTGATTTTGGTGGGATTTCTCACCAGTTTTGGCGTTTTTCTATTTGATTACCGTTCATTCGGCCAAATTGGATCTTTTGAATCATGGAGAGGACGGGGATTTTGTTACATGGTTGATCAGTTGTTGCAATGTCCCGTTTTCGCCCAATTTCCCTAAATTTCTGCATTTTTATGATTTCCATTATTTTCAAAATTCTACAGTTGATCCTTGTGCGTGAACTATGGTTCATCTGGAAAAATAGAAGTTACTGCTTGTAGTGAAAAGAGCTAAATTGAGAAATCAATATTTGTCTTTTCCCCTTACTTTTTGCTGAGTTGTCTTTTGGGATCGCCTTTTCTGCTGTATTTGATAGTTGCTATCTGTGTTACCGATTGGGAAATGTAAAGAGGAGCAAATATTTGATTTAAGTTGGACTTCAGGGATTTTCTTTATAGCAAAAGTAGTGTTTGTGTCAAGGTGATTTGTTTTTTTAGTATCTGTTTGATTTCCTTTTGAACCTTAACTATGGATTTTAATCTGTTTTCTAGGATTATTGAAAAGATTAGAAATGTTTTGTATGGGTTGATCGAAATTGTTGAAAGTATCAGATATTTCAGCCAATTTCACCAAAGGTCTCTGCATTTCTTCACATTTTTGCTATTATGGATGACGACGGAGGATTGAACATGCGAAGCTGGGGCAGCTACTTTGAGCAGCCCATGAAGGGAAGTCTAGGGTTGCAGCTCATGTCCAATTTGACAGCAGACCGCGATACTAAGCCCCTTCTCTCCAATGGAGGATTCCTCCACAGAGATCGTGGAATTCCAGAACATTCTGCCCCTATGGACTTTGTTAGAGATGGCTGGATCCATCACAACAGGGACACCAACAAAATCCTTCATGTTCTTCCAATGAACCATCATCAAGGTTTCAGTATGATCCCTGATACTTCTGGAGCGCACACAATTCACATGTTGCAGACACCTCATCCCCCAAAGGAAGAGAAGATCGCTCATATTGATAACTCCATTGATAATAATGATGCTACTCAAAAGAAGAGGTCTCAGGGTCGCACCATCAAGGCTCCAAAGCAAAAGAAGCCTAAAAAGGTTAATAATCAAGGGAGAGATGATCTGAGCAATGGTGCTATATCTAAGGGGAATAATGGGAAGAAGAGCACTGATTTGGTGATTAATGGGATTGATTTGGATTTGTCGGGAATCCCTCCTCCAGTGTGTTCGTGCACTGGAAATCCTCAACAATGTTATAGATGGGGAGTTGGGGGATGGCAGTCTGCTTGTTGCACTACAAGCATTTCGACGTATCCACTTCCAATGAGCTCAAAGAGGAGGGGAGCACGAATTGCAGGTCGGAAGATGAGCCTTGGTGCATTCAAGAAGGTTCTAGAGAAGCTTGCAGGAGAGGGGCATAATCTTTCAAATCCGATTGACTTAAAAACTTTCTGGGCAAAACATGGGACCAACAAATTTGTGACAATCAGGTAAATGATGTTACTTGCCTTCTTGATTCTGTTAGGCTGTGACCTTTGCATAGGAGTCTGTTCTTCCTGTGTATATAAACGTGGGTCCTGGTGCTGAGGAATTGCGGAGTAGTTGTAGTAGTTTAATTTTCATTCTATCATATTTAAATGCCTTTTCGAGTTCAGACTTGACGAGTAATATGGACGGTGATGTTCTCTTGTTTATTGTTTACAAACTTAAGTGTAATGGGAGAACTTTGCTGACTAATTTAGATGGCTTGTCATTAATCAGCATTTTCTTGTTTGGTTCTACTCATATTATTATTCTTGTTATTTTCTTTTATTTTGAAATGATTGCTATGATTGTCTGGTATGCTACATTTAGGAGCTTTATGGATAGCGGTAATATTATTACTTTTAGGTAGGATTCTATTTATGTTTTATTCTTCTCCTGTCAGAAACTACAATATTGCCTTTTCGATTGTGCTACTTCATAGTTATCTTGGACAGCAGACTGTTATCAATTGCGTTTGTTTTACTTTAAATAAATGGCATTTAAATATTTAGTTTGTCTCATGCTAAATCTTCTCTGAATATGCCAAGAGGCTGTAGTAGCCTAGGAAGTTGTTTACGTGGGAAAGTCTCTTCATTATATTCATTTTTGTTTCATCTCATCCAAGACGTATTCCCATAGTTTAATGGTCATTTTTACTGGTCCTTGGTCCATTATCATTGACATCATCGTCCCCACCCTGTAATAGAAAAACACAACACGTTGGGGTTTATAATGAATAGTTTACTCTTCTTTATTTTCTCCCCTTTTATGAAAATCATTATCTTCTATCTAGTTAATGGCATTAAATCATATATTTCTGTTTGAAATGAAATCTGGAGACTAATGTAGTATAACGGGTTTTATTTAGTAAGATTTTGTAGACGATTTTCATAAATGTACTTACTGATGAGATATGGACAGATTTTCACTATATTTTACACACATTAAGTTGGGTTTTATACTGAATAGTTTGCTCCTTTTGGTTTTCTCCTTTTTTTGTTAATAAAAATCATTATCTTCTATTCACTTAATGATATTAAATCATGAATTTGAGTTTGAAATGAAACCCTGAGACTAATATGGCATAATATGTTTTATTTAGTAAGATATGTAGATGGATTTTCAGAATATCTGTATTTATTGATTAGATATGGATAGATTTTCACTAAATTTGTACATAAGACTTGCTAATGAGATATGGAAAGTCTTTTCATGTTTTTTTTTACTTTGTTGTGTTTTATTTAGAGATATG